AGCCATGTTAAAAAAAAATAAAAGGGCACCTAGGTGGCTCAGTTGGTTAAGCATCTGACTGTTGGTTTTGACTCAGATCATGATCTCACGGCCATGAGATGGAGCCTGGCGTTGGGCTCTGCACTGAATGTGCAGCCTGCTTTAAATTCTCTCCCTTTCTCCCAACCCCCTGCAGTTCTCTTTCTCAAAAAAATAAATAAATAAAATAAAAAAGTAAAAAGAAACAGGTGATCCTGTTATTTACATGATCCTGGGATGGAGCCCCGTGTTGGGATCTCTGCTCGGCAGGGAACCTGCTTCCCCTCTCTCTCTGCCTGTCTCTCTGACTGCTTGTGATCTCTGTCTGTCAAACAAACAAACAAACAAACAAACAAACAAACTAATCTTAAAAAAAAGGAAACAGGTGAATTTCTGGTAATTTCAGTTTTAATAATATATTTAGCCAACCCAGCACATCTAAAATATTATCATTTCAACTTTTATTAATATAAAAGTCAGCAAGCTATTTTACATTTAAAAAATATTGAAATGGGTGATGGTGGTCAAAAGGTATAAACTTCTACTTACAAGTTAAATAAATCCTGGGGATGTAATGTGCAGCATAGTGACTAGAGGTAACAATACTGTATTATATATTTGACAGTTGTTAAGACAGTAGATCTTAAAAGTTGTCATCATAAGGACAAAAGAATGTAACTATGTGTGCTGATGGGTACTAACTAAACTTACAGTGGTAATTATTTTGTGACATATACATAAATCAAATCATGATGTCATACTCCTCACACTAAAACAATATATGTCAGTTATATCTCAATTTTTAAAAAAGGGAGAAAAAGACTAGAATCCCCAGGACTAAGGAGCCAAAATGAAAAACAATAATCACAGTGTCCCACTTCCCCAACTCCCTCAAAATATTAAGAGTATTTGCCACAGACACCATCATATCTTATATTCTGTCTGCCTGTAATAAGATTGTTCATGCTTTGTACTTAGGAAGAATGCATGCTAAGTATACTGGTAGTATCCTCTCTGTGTGAGCCACATATTTAATCATGACCCTCACAACTAATAATTGATCCTCACAACTAATAATTCTTGCAAAGAACAACACTCACAAATAACAAAACAATTCTTTGAAATAAGTACATATTTTACACACAACACAATGCAATTAGGATCAGCTACATTTCAGGTGCTCGATAGCCACATGTGGTTAGTGGCTACTGTATAAGACAATGCAGCTCTAACTGTACCTGATAATCAGAATTTCTTTCTCCTCCTCCTCCTCCTCCTCCTCCTTCTTCTTCTTCGAGAGCATGTACACCCAGGAAGGTGGGGAAGGGGTAGGGGGAGGGGGACAGAGAGAATCTGAAGCAGACTCCAGGCCCAGTGCATAGCTTGTCATAGGGCTTGATCTCACAACCCTGAGACCATGACCTGAGCCAAAATTAAGAGTTGAATGCTTAACCACCCAACTGAGCCACACAGGCGCCCTAAGACTGTGCAGTTCTAGATGCTGCTGCTTTAAGAAGGTAGAACCTCTGTCAGCCTGAGTTCCTGAATATATTACTGAGGCAAAGCTCCCTGAGAATCCCTGCTGGATAGTAACATGAACAAGAAATAAACTTTCATTTATTTGAGCTTTGCCTATTGCAACAGCTTTTAATGACCTACACTGATCAGGTCCCCTGGAAGTTTGAGAATCATTGAATTATAAACTGTGAGAAGCAAGGCAGAAAGGCCATTTACAATGCAATTTTCATAGTAACTTTGGAGTTCGAGAGAAGTAAGAGACAGAAGAGAACTGATGACAGGTTTGTCATGGATTAGTTGAGGGAATGAGTGACAGAGAGAATTCAGATTTCTTGCTCAGATGAATAAGTAGATGATGTCATTTGAGTTGATAAGAGAGGCAGTAGGAGAACTAATTTGGGAGTAGAGCTAGTGAGTTTAGTCCCTGTTGACTACGAGGTGTCTGTGGACAATGGTTCGAAGTTTACTTCAGCGTTGGCTGCTACATGCCAGGTCAGGTGCAAATGGTCTGGATCTCAAGGGACTCTTGAAGATTAAATAGAAAAATCCAATATAGTATTTAATAGTGGTGATAAACAATACCCAAAGTGCTCTTAGAGCTCAGAAGAGAGGGACCTACTTGGAAGTGATGGGTCTGGCAAGGCTCTTGAGAGGAAATGACACCTATTGGAGTCTTAAAGCATGGGTGGAGCAGTGGGATAGGGGAGGGGGTCAGGGCAGGTGTCAGGCTATTTGGGCTGCCAAAAGGAAAAATACCATGGACTATGTAGCTTACAAATGACAGAAATTTATTTCTTACAGTCCTGGAGGCTAGAAGTCTGAGATTGAGGGACCAAAGCTGAATGAAGACCTTCTTCCAGGTTGAAGACTTCTTCTTGTATCCTCACCTGGCAGAAGGAGAGAGGGAGTTCTTGGGGTCTCTGCTACAAGTACATTAATCCCATTCTCGAGGGCTCTGCCTCTATGATCTAATCACCCCAGTGACTCCATCTCTTAATCCCATCATGCTGGGGGTTAAGTTTCAACATATGAATTTTGGGGTAGACATATACATTCAGACCATAACAACAAGGTTTGAATGGAGAGACAGGAAGGAGACGGTGGTAAAGGCATTCAAGGTAGAAGGGACCGCATGACACAGACATTGAGTTCAAGAAAAGTTCGCTATGGCTACAGGGTACACATCAGGGAGGAAGCACATGAGATAAAGCAGGCAAAGCAGGAGGGCCAGGTTATGGAAGGTGACTATTGTCCAGTCTGCTTTTGTGCCAGAGACAGATGCTGGAGGAAGGATGAGGAGGACAGGAGCTGTAGCCGCCAGGACAAGCGGGAAGCTGTTGTAATAAAGTAAGAGAGATGAGAAAAGATGATGCCCTGAACCTGGGATTAATTGGAGAACATCCGGAGAGTGAAACTTACTGAGTTTGGTGATTTGTGGACATTAGGACTGAGGAAGAGGAAGAGGGAAGCGTCAGGATGCCTCCCAGATTTCTAGGGGACTGGGCAGATGATGGTGCTAATGGGGCAAAGTGAAGACAGAATAAAAGCAGGACCTCCTGGAAGGAGATGGGGAAGGTAACTGCTGCTCTCCACCCACAGAATTTCCAGGAATACTGTCTCGTGGGAAAGAATAGGTCAGGACTGTGGGTATATTTGCCTGTTTCTGGCCCTCCATCCCAAAACAGAAACGGATTTTTATTTTCACCACCACCATTCAGGGAAAACTGGGAAATGAAGAGCAGGATTTGAACACAAGTCTGTAAAGCAGGAAGGTGGTAAGAAAGGGCCAGTGGCAGCTGCCTGGGGAGCTCTTGTGCAAGGACCAGGACAGGAGACGGCCATGAGAATCCGTGTGAGTACACAGATGACACCAGAAGGAAGGACCCCTAAGTTTGGAATTGGAAAAGGAGCAGAGAGAAACCACGGGTATCTGAGTGGGGCTGGAGCATGAGGAAAAGGAATATGAAGGAGCCCACAGGATGGATTTCACCAAGCAAGGGGTGGTTGGACTGACCTGAGAATTTCCAGGGCCCTCCAGAAGTAGGGCAAGATAGTGTGCTGGGCCATGGTGGGGGAACAGGTTATGACTCGAAACCCAAAACTACTCTGGAATTGAGTATGATTCAGTTTTTATTTTACTTGGGCTGAATATTTCTCATACTTGAAGTTTGTTTTGCCTCAGTGGCTATTTTTTCTGTCCTGGGGAGAATGGGATAAAAGGCCAGGAGCAGGAAGGGGTAGTCCTGGGGTGTGGCCTGAGGAAGGAAAAAAATGTTCCTCTCTAGATCTCTAGTTGTCATTAATCTTCAAAAGAAGCCTGAGTTTGGAGAGAGACTGGACATTCTAGTTTGAAAATAATGTCTTTTTCCTCCTTCCTGTCAAACTTCAGGTCACATTTTTGGGATGGTCTTGTTTTTTCTCTGTAGGGTCTTTAATAACGATGGACCGTATCCCCAGGGTCTTTCTTTTTATTTGCTTAGTTCATTTTGGGATGCTTGTGTCCACAGCATGGGCCAATAGTATGAGAGCCTTGGTCCTCTATTGTCTGGAAGGCTTATAAAATTGAGTACGTGGACTTGGGATGGAGTGCTATGATTCAAGGGCCTTCTCTTTCTTTCTTTCTTAGATTTTATTTTTTATTTGTCAGAGAGAGAGAGAGAGAAAGCACAAGCAGGGAGAGTGACAAGCAGAGCAGGCAGAGGGAGAAACAGGCTCCCTGCTGAACAAGGAGCTCGATGGGGGACTTGATTCCAGGACCCTGGGATTATGACCTGAGCCAAAGGCAGACGCTTAACCCACCAAGCCACGCAGGCATCCTTGTTTTGTTCTTTCAGCAAAGCTGCATACTCTTTCAAATCCTCTCTGAAGGATTTTAAGTGAGAAAAAAATAAGGAAACTGATTTTCTTTCCAAACTTTATTACACATTTTTTTTATTATGAGGGTTTAACAGAGTAGAGTTAGACTTGACATCTCTCTCATGAAACCTCAACAATTTACAGAATTAATAAATAGGAAACAAGGTTTAGTCTTTTTTACAGCCATGTCATGCACTCCTCAGACAGAATTTTCGACCGCCACTAAATTCTCTGTAGGAATTCCCTAGGCAGAACAGATAATCACACTCTTTCACCTTTCTCTAAAGACTTAAACATAAATAGATCCATAAATAGTTCATATAAATATAGGTTTACCTGTTAAATAACAAAGTTCTCAAGTCTGGAATCGTGTCTTAAAAGATACAAAATAAAGGGGCGCCTGGGTGGCTCAGTGGGTTGGGGCCTGTGCCTTCAGCTCAGGTCATGATCTCAGGGTCCTGGGATGGAGCCCTGCGTTGGACTCTCTGCTCAGCAGGGAGCCTGCTTCCTCCTCTCTCTGTTTCTGCTTGCCTCTCTGCCTACTTGTGATCTCTCTCTGTCAAATAAATAAATAAAATCTTTTAAAAATACAAAATAAAGCCTGTAATTCATTAAAATGAAATCTTCTGCCCCAAAGTTATCTCAGGGTCTATTAAATACATAAATAGCTTAAAGCCCTTAGAAAAGCACACCGAAAGCAAATTGGTACTCAATCAAAACTTTCCACTCTGCAGAGAGGGAAAGATTATTCAGATTCTATCTCTGCACAAAAAGTGTTCTCTCTGAAACTTCAGTTGGATGAACTAGTTGAAGAAGCCTATTGAGTTTGGTCAGAAATGGGGCTGGGTGTACTCCCCAGAAAGAGTAACGGTGCTGGGGAGCTGGGACCAGAAGCTCTTAAGCCACATGGCGCACAATGGGGGTGACGCAGGTGCAGCCCACAGCCACCAGCATCTTTTCCAGCCGGAAGCTGTGGGGGCAGTGCTGAGACTCCCTTCGCAGAACCAGGATCTCTTGCTGGATGGGGACGGAGTTCATGTGGTAGTTTATCGTCCCTTCAGCACTGACACAGCCCAGATGGCGGCACTTGGCCTCCCAGATCACAGAGGGGTATCTCTCAGGGTCCTTGTTGCGGCTGCAGGGGGCACAAAAACGAGGGAGAAAGTGAGTATCTGGTAAAGCGGGGAGGAAATCAGACAGGAATAAACAAAGGGATGCACATTCACAGGGTGACAGAGCATGGGCATTGCACATTCTCAAAGTTTGGGGAAAGCTTGGATTTGCAGGCACATGAATTGTTATAGAAGAGAATGATCAGTTTTTCCCAATTTCTTTGAAGAATGAACCAAATAAGGTAGATGAGACTGCAGAGGGAATTTTAGTTTGATACAAAGGACAATTTCTTAAGGTATATATGATAGAGAAAGGCCAAGGGAATCATGTAGGTATACGATAGCCATTAATCTGACTTAATGAAGTCTGCCTTTGAAGCAGGGAAGGGATAAAAATTTTATCTGACAGCACAGTCATGGGATAGAGCCCAGAGCTGACACAAAGGGCTGGAAACAAAAGCTTAAGCCCTTCTATAACCTTCTCTTCCCTCTCTCCTCCAGCTGAGTGAATGACTTGCTTTGACTTTTGACTTGATTTATTTGAACTATTCTTAGTAATGGGAGGCTATAGTCACCACATAACTGAAGTGTTTTTTTTGGTTTGTTTGTTTTTGCATAAAATCAAAACACTAAAAACCATTTTGTATTTTATCTTAATGGGGTCTAAATATTAGCCGTACTAAGAGCACAACATTTATAGGTCTGTTGGTGATATAGATCAAGGCTGTCTGACTCAAAAAGGGGTGCAAATATCCAACATGATATTTCCTTCACTGGGTTTCAAACCATATTATCCCACTGCTAATATGACCAAAAAAAGAAAGGCACAAAAATCCCAGTTAATTACTACTTATTTTCAACAAATCATCTCAGTGGTAGGTCTGCTAAAGAGAATTCAAGCATTAATCCCCAAGATAAATTTTTTTAAAAATAAATTTCCAGTAAACTTGGGGCATCATAAATATTGGAATAATGAATAACGTGAGTGGGTTTTTGGTGTCGGTGACAGTGAGACCTAAGGGGTAGGTAGTATGGGGGAGAGGTGGTCCTGCGCATCAAAGAAGTCTGTAGAATAAAATTTGAGAATCTTTGCACAACAGTCCTTCCAGATTTGACAGATGATTCTGAGTAAAATCATCCTCAAGGTGACTTAACTGGCAGTCCTTTGCATGAAAGTTAGAATAATACAGAGATTTTTATCTGGAGCCATTACGTACTACAGATTCCAAGGTGACGTGGATCGGTTGTGGTAATCTGAGGGCCTTCTGGAGTTCGTATTCCCGTTAAGGATATTCAGATTGACCTTCACATGCTGAGGGAAGTTCTTGTCCTCAGTGTTTGGGCATCCTGGATTTTGTGGGAATGCTATTCCCGCCTTCGCAATAGCCATCAGGCTCAGCAGCAGCAGCAGTGCCTGGAAACGAATGGGGAAAAGAAGGTAGGATATTGGATTAGCATGTGGTTTTTGTTAACAAATTGTAAAGATTATTGTATTGCTAATCATGGAGAACATACTCTGTTCCAGGGTGCTCTATAATAAATTTTTGGATCAGTTCGATGAAAGACTGGTTGTATGATGAAAATAATGACTGAAATAAGACCATGGAGTGTTTACTAGTCTTGAACATTCTTCTTCTGAATTAGGAGAGACACCTTATTTTTATTGGTTGGCAGTAATTTTAGTAAAAATGGCAAGTCATTGGTCTCTGTCCTAGCATTCTGTGAAACCCTATGTGAAGTCAAATGTTTGCCTTAGAAGAAAGGGCTGTAGAAAATGCATGTCATATCATATCCGTGTTCATGTGAGAAATGCTGGGCAGACATTCAACCCCAAACTTGTCCCCCCACCTTATGTTTTCTTATGTATATTTTCCAGTTTTTCTAAAGTTACATATATACACATATTGAGTCTGTAATCAATTAAATTAAATATTTCAAAAATATAAAGACCATCTTCTCTAAACCATAGTTACACATATCTCTATTAGAATAAGTGGGTTTGGTGTATTAGACTATGGTATAATAGGGGCGCCTGGGCGACTCAGCGATTAAGCATCTGACTCTTGATTTCGGCTCAGGTCATGATCTCAGGGTTGTGAGATTGAGCCTTGCATCAGGTTCCATGCTCAGCAGGAAGTCTGCTGGAAATTCTCTCTCATCTCTCCTTTCTCCCCTCCCTAACCCCCCCAAATCAATAAATAAATCTTTATTTTATTTATTTTTTTAAGATTTTATTTATTTATTTGACAGACAGAGATTACAAGTAGGCAGAAAGGCAGGCAGAGAGAGGAGGAAGCAGGCTCCCTGCCGAGCAGAGAGCCCGATTCAGAACTCGATCCCAGGACCCGGGATCATGACCTGAGCCGAAGGCAGAGGCTTTAACCCACTGAGCCACCCAGGCTCCCCAATAAATAAATCTTTAAAAAGAAGCTTATGGTATAATAATAGAATAATGGAAAGGAAAGTCAGTGTTGCCATTAATTAAATCCTCAAGGATAGTGTACCATTTTATTATGGAATAAAGAAAAATGCTGTTGGAGAATCATATTAAATCCCTTGTACTCAGAAAATCAGATTTTCAATAAGCATTCTTTCTCACTGCACAGCATCATGTGACACTTTCCATGTGGTTTAGCCCCAATCTAGCTATCTTTCAGTTTTAATCTCATCGTTCAAACTGATGTGTATCAGTTCTTGAAAATGCTATAAAATGACGAGTATCTACCAAAGCCTTAGTATCCTATCCTATGTATGCAGCATTCTTGAATCTCCATAGTTAGAATCCAGAATTTCATGCCTGCAGTCCAGAAATATTATCTGGTCCAAATCAACAGAAGTATTGCACATTAGTGCAGGACTCACCATGGATGAAGTTGTCATAGGAGCCATTGTAATCTTTCCCAGATGACTGGAGATGGATCGACTTGTGCCTGCTTCGAGATGGAGTGTAGCGCTAACTTGCCCCTTTTTATAAGAGTTTGCTCCTCTGCGGTCACTTACGTTGACGTATTGAGGTGGGTAAAGGAAAGACAGCATTTTAGTTAAATGTTCCATCCTCAAATGAGGTCAGAAAAGAACCTCCCCTTCGTGACAGGTAGTATCTACTTTGAAGGAAAATGGACAGGGCAGAAATTCATGTTTTAAAAGACTATGTCCTTTCTTCATTATTCTAGGAACTATTACTTATCAGAAGCTGACTAAGATGAGCTAGTATCATTTACTTATGGGCACATATGAAGATGTCATAAGAGCTATGCTCTATTTTAATGGTTCATGGGCAAATGGAAGTTTGTTATAACGTTCAAGTCTTCTGATGTCACGTATCTTGATTTCCCATTGGATAATTCCTTTCCTCACCAGATTCTCTAGACAGATGTTGTGGAGTCCATTCTAGAAACTATTCAAGGTCTTGCCATATAAAGAAACAATTGAGAAGTGAGTAAAAATATAGTGATGTGAAGGTATATTATTTCACTGAATTAACACCTGCTTTGTTAAATGTTTACTCTGCTTAAAAAACTAATAACTAGGTCCAGAGATGTGAGGTTTACTATTAAAGGCATGTCTAACACTACATGTTACCAAGCAACTTGTTAACTCATGCCATTCTTCAAGAGGAGTGAGATGGAAATGAAAGAGTGAGGGGACCGTGTTGTATGACCTGAACTCATGGGTCCTGATTCCCCTTCCTCTAATGCCTCCATGCCATTTGCTAAGGTACTATCTTTGAAATGACATTCTGTTAAATGTTACTTGTTCCTCCAGAACCTGTTGAATGTGTCTTCTAGGTCTGGTGGTCTGTCTTGATTTTCTTAGTTGGAACAAACAGCTCCCATAACACATAGCTTATACCTACTTCTATAATAACTTTTGCTTCATTTTGTACTCTATTTTGTTTGGCTGGAGAAAGCATATTTAAGACATATGTTTATTTCCATTTTTAGATTCTTTTATAATCCTTCAACATGATGTCTGGTAAACAGTAAGTGCTCAATATTTTGACTGATTGACAGTATGAATGTTGTTTAGTTAGCTCAGAATCTTGAATATTCTTTTTGGGACCCAACTGTATTCCAATAACCATTTTGATTGAATGCCTTGACTCTCCATCCTGATCCTTTTGTTGTATGACAAGGTTATAGCTGATTTTGGACCACCCCAGAGTGGAGAATTTCTTGCCTTTTGCTTTCAGGCAAGGATGAGGTGGAGGAGAATGTGCTTGCTGCCAATTCTTTTGGTTGATGGCCAAGGGGGGAAGGCTGAGTCTAGTTCTCCCTATTGCCTGCCTCCTATACTAGTGAAATCCAGCCTGTGTGCCAACTTTGAAATGCCAATCCCTAAAATAAGTCTGGGGAAATGTGGTGGGTTTTCACAAAAGTGTAAAAATTATTATTTTGAAGTGGTGGTCAGAGTGGGGGTGTACCCAGCCTTGAGTAGGTCTGTTTTCCCAGATGCACACCTGAGCTAGAAGCCTGTGCCTCCTAGAGGAACGGTCAGAAGTATAAAGGAGGTGTGAAGTGTGGGGAGTCTCTTTCTCTGTATTTGTCTATGGAAGCAGCTGGCTCAGGTTTGAGTACCTGTTGAGATGGGGTGAGGTGGGTGGGCTGGGAACGCTGGATTAAGAATTAGGATGCCTGGGATGCTGGACAAGAAAGCACGTTTGTGTTCATTGTGGTTCTGCCATTAACTACTCATGCCTTTGGGTACCTCATGTCCTTGAGTCTCAGTTTCTCTCATGATAGAATGAGGTTTTTTGCATCAGGTAATCTTTGATTATTTATGAATTTTCAAAAAAAAATTGTGGGGGAGCAAATAGGAGCAGCGCATTATTTTACTTTGTGATTTTCCTTGCTTCTTTGAGGGCTTGGAAAACAGACATCTATAGGACACGGGAAACTTCAGATTGGGAGTTGGGACTTGGATGAGGAGAAGGTCCACTGCTGGAGACCAGGAAATACTCCTGGGAGCCAAAATCCTGGGTGAATTTCACTGGATGATACTGGTGAAATGTCTGTGGGCTTCTTGACTTAGGGAAAGGATTTTAAAGGCTCCTTGGCATTATTAAGACACCAAACTTTATTCCTTTCTACTTATAATAAAGAACAATGTGAGAGATAGAAGAAAATTTTCTTCCTTTTGCATTCAGGAGAGAGTATTGTGGAATCTTTTGTTTTGATGTAGTGGAAAATTAAGACTGTCATTAAAAAAATAAAATAAATAAATAAGCTAATTTTGAAAAAAATCTTGCTTGGGTGGTGAAGTTACCACTGAAATACTATTGTTCCCTCCCTTCCTTCCTCCTTCTTTCTTTCTTTCATTCAATATAGTTGATGCACACATTACATTACTTTCAGGTGTACAACATAGTGATTCTACAAGTTTATATAAGTTTATATGTCATGCTATGCTTACCACAATGAAATCATCTTTGTGATACTGTATTTTAATTTCTTTTCTATGGCCTTTTTGTTTTTGTTTTTTTTTTTAAAGATTTTATTTATTTATTTGACAGACAGAGATCACAAGTAGGCAAAGAGGCAGGCAGAGAGAGAGAGAGGAGGAAGAAGGCTTCCTGCTGAGCAGCAAGCCCTATGTGGGACTCGATCCCAGGACTCTGGGATCATGACCTGAGCCAAAGGCAGAGGCTTTAACCCACTGAGCCACCCAGGCACCTCATCTACGCCCTTTTAAAATAAAAAATAACAATAGTCTGTCTCAGTATAGGAGGTGGCACTGTGACATCATTAGTGATTCGTGTGTATTATCATTGAAAGGCAATAGCTGTAAAAAGACAAGCATGACATTTTATTTAATGCCATGCACATCAATAGCAAGACCCCTTTTCTCTTGATTTTTGATCTAATAGAAGGAAATAGTAGTTGCAGGGAGTCCTTTTTTTTTTTAAGATTTTATTTATTTATTTGACAGAGAGAGAGCTCAAGCAGATGGAGCAGCTGGTAGAGGGAGAGGAAGAAGCAGGCAGAGGGAGAGGAGAAGCAGGCTCCCTGCTGAGAAGAGAGCCCAATGCAGGGCTCCATCATAGGACGCTGGGATCATGACCCAAGCCAAAGGCAGACACTTAACCAACCAAGCCACCCAGGTCCCTTTCCTCTTGAGTTTTAAATCTGGAGGCTGATACTTTGAAAATGGGCTAGCATACAGCAAGCCACATCAGACACTTTAAATGAAGATATGATATTAGGGGAGGAGAATGTCTGTAATAGAGAGTCATCTGGAAGGCCTTGGAGAATTGCCAAAGTCAGGATTTAACTGAGACCCAGATTTAGATTCGATTTATCAAGGTCTAGATCACCTACTCCCAACTTCAAAATGTTAATGGTGTTATGTACCAGAGGTTCAGAGTTGAGGTCCAAACTATTGTCTTTTGAGAAACAGGACTTACTATATATGAAATTCACATGATTTATTAAATAGGAAACATCAATCATAATGTCAGCCTGATCGTATCATTGTTCCTCTCCAGCATAACACTGTTAGGGATTCACAATGGTCTGTGTTTCTGAGGGCCATCCTGAACGATGAATTATTGGGTGGGAATACTGCAGGGGTAGGGAGAGGCTTCCTCTGAGATCCCTGGTGAAGGAATTTCTCTTCCTCAGATGACATGCTGGATTGAGGGAATGATTGACAATGAGGATATCTGAATAGGGTGATTGTTAATGGGTTGGTAAGGGCTGAGAGGTGAGAGGCAGAATCCTCTTCAACATTCAGATTCTGTTTTTTCACCATTGGTCGTTCCAACTCTTGGTAGGTTGTTCTTCCTGACGAAGACCCGTGGGAACAGCTCCTTTGAGTAACTTAATTTCTTCTACTTTTGGTTTTTGATGTTACCCGCTCTGTAGTCTAGACCAGACTATTTTTATGTGATGAAATCAGATCATAAAAGGGTTTTAATGTCTTTAAAAACCAAATGGTCAAAAGAACAGCAAACAACCATTACATTATCCATGTGAGATATTTGATTCTGTTCCTGGTAACTCCCAAATAGTGCATAATGACTTTTATCATTTATCTCATAAATGAGGCTTGCTCTTTACACATCTTTCCCAGTCTCAAAGAACTGAGATAATGCCTGAAAGCTCTGAAAGGAGATATCTCACATCACATTCTCTGGAAACAATGGCAGTCTACCAGTGTTTCCCCAATCCCTACATCAGAATCCACAGTCAAACACATCATATAAGTGTGTCAATTTCTCCTTTGAGTAATAACTACTAACCTCATGGAAACCAAGCCTCTTCCTTAGGTGGGTTTCTTACTAGTCTTTTACTGAAACAGTGATTTAAAGTGGGTCAGAAAACTTTCCATTTCTTTGACGAACAAATAAATTTAGAATTCTGTAACTATACATTAGCAGCCACATGCAAATTTGTTTTACGGCGGCCTTCCCTTTGGTAATGCTGACTTCATCTTATACCCTGAGAATCAAGGTCAGCAAATGACTGAACTTTCAAGTCTAAACGGATGTCACTTAAAGTAAGGTCTAAAATTAAATAGGCAGCACAAACCGCACACTGTGTGGCCTACCAAGAGAGCACCTTTATATTCTTTTCAGGTATTTTGAAGCTAATGTGATTTAGAGATAACCACAGAATGTGGGAACGAAAGATACAATACTTGGTATTGATAAATACCAAGTAAAGATTGGTATTTGGTAAAGATACCAATACTTGGTTCTTCTCCATGGGATACAGTACAGAGCATGGTATGGACCCGTGGAGGCTCGGTGACTTGTGACTCGGAACTACAGTAAGATCGATAGATGACAGTGCTGTATTCCTTATTCCAAAATTCTCTTACAACAAAATAACTTACAACAAAAATTCAGTTAATAAAGCAGAGAAAAATATAAATCAGGCCCAGGGGATGCAGATTCAAACGTCAAGTTCCAGGAA